TGAGTTCATTTTGTTTGGGCCATCAAATGCTGGGCCTGGGGCCTAACCTTAGTGTGGTTAATATATCCAGTGAGACTCCATTGGAGAAAACTAATTTTTTCCTTTGGATGTCAGTTGGAGATAGTGTCTTGATTAGCGATGGGAGCCCATGTCTACTTCTCTCTCCAGCACTGGGATCCATCTGACTTTGTACCTGCACAGGCCCTAAGCATGCAGCCAGTCTGTGAATTCTTATGTGCAATAGTCCTCTTGTGCCTCAAAGACCCTATTTCTTTGGAGTCATCCATCCTCTCTGGCTCTTACACCTTTCCGACTCCTCTTCCACATAGATCCGAGAGGAGAGGTTTGATGAAGACATCCCATTTAGGACTGGGTGTTCCAAAATCTCTAGATTTCTGAACACTGTCCAGCTGTAGGTCTCTGTGTTAGTTCCCATACACTACAAGAGGAAAGCTTCTCTCATGATGGCTGGGAGAGGCACTTATCTATGGGTATAGCAGACTGGCACTAGGAGTCATTTTATTGCTGTTTCTTTAGTAGAAAAGTATTTGGTTTTCCCCTAGGCCCAAGACTTATCCAGTCTCAGGTTCTTGGCCCCCTGAGCAGTGTCAGCCATGGGTTCTATCTCGAAAAGTGGGCTTTAGTTCCAAACGGAGTAGCTGGTTACTTCCACAATGTTTTTGCCACTACTGCACCAACACATCATGCAGGCAGGTCACTGCTGTAGATCGCAGGGTTTAGAGCTGGGCTAGTTACCTTTCTCCTCGGGTACTGTGCAGATATCTTCCAGTACTGTAAATAAGTAGTCATTAAGGGTGAAGGCTCTACTTATGCACCAGCTCAACTTCTCTGTGTTCAATGAGATATGTAAGTGTTATCTTCAGCAATAGACCTTACCATCAACTTGTAGAGAGCAACTGTCTTAGTTAGGATTTCTGTTGCCACAAACACCATGACCAAAAAGCAAGTTGAGAAAAGAGTTTATTTGGCTTACACTTCCAGATCAAGTCCATCATCGGAAGAAGTCAGGCAGAGCAAGAACCTGGAGGCTTGCTTCCTATGACTTGCTCAACCCACCTTCTTATAGAACCCAGGACCAACAGCCCAGGGATGGCACCACCCACCATGGGCTGCTCCCAACCCCCTACTGATCACTAATTGAGAAAATGCCTTACAGCTGGATCTCATAAAGGCACCTCCTCAACCGAGGCTCTTTCCTCTCTGTTGACTCTAGCTCTTGTCAAGTTGACACACAAACTAGCCAGTAGAGCAACCAATAGCTTTAGCAATAACCTGAGATGTTTGGGGATTCCATAGGGTCCCTTTGGCCAATGAATCAACTAGATGTAATCCATTCCTGATACTGGAAATTTTACTTGGTGGCAAAAGATGTCTAGTTGGGGCAGTGTCTTCCTTGTTATTTAGTGACTCCAATAAGATTTCTTTCATATATGTATATATTTTAAGAAACATACAGTAGTAGATTAGGAAAGCACTTTAATGGAAACAATACACAGAGATGTATGAACATAAATTGAGGAATATTCTAAAGTTCTTCCAATAAAAGATTAATAATTACAAATTTTGACCGTTAAGATATGTAATACTTGTTTTCTCCAAGCTCAACAGCCACCATCTTCATAAGATCAGCTGAGCCTGCTTGCAAGTGCCAATCATGAGAGGGCCTGTGGACTGTTAATATCTCCTTCTGGAAGGAGAGGGTGTGGAGCAGCACTGTAACCTCACCTGAACTGTTCCAACCTCTAGTTAGTTGTTCCTTCCAGCCTTTCGTGTGCAATTCTGCCCTAACTGCGGAAGATGGTGGAGGGGGGCACTCCTGCTCCTCCTCCTAGTAGCTCTTCTCCCATGTTCTGTGAGTGGAGGTAATAAACTCACTGATTCCCACAGGGTGAATTCTGGTGGAATCCAACTTTGGTTTGTCACTGGGGCCTTATGAGGAAGCAGGTACTGTTTTGTTCTAGCTATGACCTTGAAGCACTGCCCCTAGTGATGTAGCAGGTAACTGTTACACCTGCCTATGACCTTGAAGTACATGCCCTGGGGCGTGGCCACTCGGACCCTTAAGACCTGGGATGCACATATGCGGCTCTCTCTTCACCACCTCATAGTATTGGATGCTGAAATCTTGGACCAGGCAAATCAGTGTGGGACGTAGCTCAGGTTTCCCGGACCCTACAATAACTCGCATGGTAGTGAGTTAACCCCAAAATAAATTCTTTTGCTCACTAAATAGACTCCGTGGATTCCTTGCATTATCTCTCTCCTTCTCTAAACCTAAGCATGTTGCTAAAAGAAAAAATTAAGCGATTGTCTCATATCAGAAGAGCTGCCTGGTGTGGGACAGAAGAAAACCATAAAAAAAGATTGTAGTCAAGATTCTATTTCTTTCTATGCTCATCCTCACTTTTGAAAGATCCTTTCTCTATTCAGTATAAGTCCAAACTTTCTATTTTGATATTAATAATGTTCAAGTTTTCCACAATAAACCTTTCCAATAGCAATCTCTGAAGTCTACAGAAGGAAGATGGGGTCCCACAACAAGGATTCTACTCAATTCAGAATGATGTCATGGTAACCGTGTGAACATTACTCAATGATCAACCTGGGACTGAAAACTCTCCAGGACAGTTCCAAGATGAGATTCTAGCCAGAATCTCAGACAACCTTACCCATTACTCTGAGACTGGCTGCAGAACCTACAAGCTAGTCCTGTTGAGACCTAACTATCTGACCTTTCCTCCTC